CTCTAGTTACAAACTCGTTCAAATGAAATTTTTAAAGTGAATAGAAATAATCCTGGCTTTAGCCATAATCCTAGAAGTAATGCCAAAAGCCTTACTCTTTTTTTCCCCCAAAGCCCTTTGTCCAACTACAGTGTTCCTTAGTGATAGAGAGCAAAGCCTTTACAGTGAGACGGACTGCAATCCTGGAATTACCATAAATGTCATTATTTAACTTCTCTGAGACATAAATTTCTTAATTATGAAATAAGCATGGTTTTTATCTACTAAAGTATGTTTTACTGAAAATTTTTAAAATAGCATAAGTGACCTAGTACATTGTTTGACACATCGTAGGCATTTTATAGTGTCAGAAAGGTAAAAAAAAACCACACACACACACAAATTAGAGAGATTTTAAAACAAGGAAATGTTGAAGCTGGTATTGGAGAACTAAAAAAATAACACGGAGGTAACATGAAATAACAGCAGGACTCAGCTACTACCCATATGGCTGCAGGAGCAAAAGAAAGGGATGGAGTTTTAGAATGTAAAAGCTTGGAGGAGGTGTCCCAGGAAGCTGGGACTCAGACTTAAGAAAAGAGCATGTGGCTGAGCTGGTGCTGGTACTCCTAAAGGCATATCAATAGGCTATGCAGTGACTGAGCTCATCTCATTTGTTTGTCTTCTCTTGGGAATCGCTGTTATTTTGCGTGATATCCTATGTCTTGAAGACCACTGTTTTATACGATTTGTCCATTTTTTGTTGTTTCAGATGGAAGGATAAATCTGGCCCTTTTACTCCATCTTGGCCAGAAAGGAAAGTCTGTAATGCTTTCTAAGCAAGCAAGTTAGCCACTTTTTCAAGATGAGTTAAATAGGTTCTGTCTCGTGTTGCTTAGTTTTTCAGTGCACTTATAAAATCAGGCAATTGTTTTGGCAAAGTTTAGATATGATGCCCTTTAATGCCATGCAGCTTTCTGGGACTAAGACCAAAAACTTTTAAACCACTCTTAATTCTCTCCTGCTTTCAAATCCAATCCACCAATACATTCTGTAGCTCTAGCTTAGAAAGTCTTACTATTTATTCTCCCAACTATCATCCCCACTGCAAGGCACCATCTGCACATGCCTAGGATATTGTTGGGACTTCCTAATTGAGTTACTTCTGAGTTTTTGAACGCAACAGCCCTGATTCCCTTAAACTGTACATCAGATTACATCACTCCTACCCTAAATACTTTCCAGTGGCTCCTGTTTCTCTCAGAGTAAAAGTCAAAGTTCTTGCAATGGCTAATGACACACACCATAATCTGTCTCTACTATTATCTCTCTGCATTCATCTCATGTTACTCTCGCCCTTGCTGTCTGCTCCTGCCACACTTATATCTTGTTTTTCTTCGATCACAGCATGCCCCTACCCTCAGGGTCTTTATACAGTCTCTTCCCTCTGCCTGGAATGCCCTTTCCTGAGTTATATGCCTGGCTCATTTCCTAACTGCCTTCATAGTTTTACCCAAGTGTCATATTTTCTGCTCCCATCAGCATGACCTCAACAATCTTTCTCTAGGCTGCCAGAAGCAGTAGGTTGCAGTTGCTGCAGTTAATTTCAGTTCACAGTTTTTTATTTTCTCTGAGGCAGTGCCCAGCACAAACCATCTGGAACCCTCTCCCTCTTCTTATAGGTCTCAGATCCAACCCCACGGGGTCCCTTCAGTACCACAGGAGCAGTGCCACCTCTGAGTCTAAATTCCAGCTCTTTCTGGTCACAGTGGCTTGTGCCTGTAATCCTAGCACTTTGGGAGGTTGAGGTGGGAGGATCGCTTGAAAGCCAGGTGATCAAGAATAGCCTGGGCAACATAGAGAGATCCTGTCTACACACACACACACACACACACACACACACACACATATTCTTGGGTGTCACCTGCTTCCTGAAGTTGCTACTTGTGTGAAATCTTAGTGTTCTTTTTATGCCACATAAATTTTTTATACCTGTAACAAATCTCCATATTAAATTCTCTCTGTTACTACATAAAATAACTAGTTTGGTTTCTAAGTCCTGACTGAACCCAGAGGGATATAGAAATTAGTACAAGAAGTTTTTAAAGATAATGTCTGAGTCCATCTCCTGTTGCTTATAACAAAATACTGAAACTGGGTAATTTTTAAAGAAAAGAGTTTTTTTGTTTTCCATTTCTTTTAATTGATATATCATAACTGTATATATTTATGGGGTACATGTAATGTTTTGATCCATGCATGTAATGTGTAATGATCAAATCAAGGTATTTAGATATCCGTCACCTCAAATACTTACCATGTCTTTCTGTTGAGAACATTCAAAATCTTCTCTTCTAGCTATTTTGAAATACACAATAAATGATTGTTAACTATTGTCACTCTACTGTGCTATCAAACATTAGAAGTTATTTCTTCTATCTAACTGTCTATTTATACCGATTAACCAACCTCTCTTCATTACCCCATTCCCTTCCCAGCCTCTGGTAACTATCATTCTACTCTCTACCTCCATGAGACAAACGTTTTGAGCTTCCACATATAAGTGAGAACATGTGATATTTGTCTTTCTGTGCCTGGCTTATTTCAGCCTATATAATGACCTTCAGTTCCATCCATGTTGCTACAAATAACCAGATTATTTTTAAAGGCTGAATAGTATTCCACTGTGCATCTATACCACATTTTCTTTATCCATTCATCCACTGATGGATATTTAGGCTGATTTCATAACTTGACTATTGTGAATAGTGCTGCATTAAACATGGGCATGCAGATATCTTTTTGATATACTGAGTTCTTTTTATTGAATATATACCCAGCAATGAGATTGATGAAATATATAGATCTATTTTTAGATCTAATATTTTCGGAAACTTCATATTATTTTTCACTATTGTAGTACTAATTTCCATTCCCACCAACAGTGCACTAGCATTCCCCCTTCTCTGCATCCTCACCAGCACCTGTTAGTTTTTGTCTTTTATATAATATACATTTTAACAGAGATAAAATGATATCTCATTGTGGTTTTATTTGCATTCCATAATAACTAGTGATGCTGAGCATTTTCGCATGTGACTATTGGCCATTTGTATGTCTTCTTTTGAGAAATGTCTATTCAGGTTGTTTGACCATTTTTAATCAGATTATTTGCTATCTTGTTGTTGAGTTGTTTGAATTCCATAGATGTGTTGTTTATTAATCCTTGATGGATGAACAGTTTGCAAATATTTTCTCCTATTCTGTGGCTTGTCTTTTCACTCTGTTGATTGGTTCCTTTGCTGTGCAGAAGGTTTTTGGCTTGATGTGATTTTATTTGTCTATTTTTGTATTTGTTGCCTGTGCTTTTGCAGTTGACCCAAAAAATCTTTGCCCAGGCCAACACATTTCTCCAATGCCTTCTTCTAGTAGTTGTATAGTGTCAGATCTTATATTTAAGGCTTTAATTCATTTTGACTTGATTTTTGTATTTGGTGAAAGAAAAGGGTCTAGTTTTTGTTTTCTGCATATGAATATACAATTTTCTCAGCACCATTTATTGAAAATACTATCCTTTCCCCACTGAATATTCTTGATGCCATTATCAGAAGTCACTTGGCTGTAAATAGTGGATTTATATCTGGGTTCTCCATTCTGTTCCATTGGTTTATGTATCTGTTTTTGAGTTACTATAATAAACTTGTAGTGTAAGTCAAATAGTGTGATGACTCTAGCTTTGTCCTTTTCTTTTTGCTCAAGATTGCTTTGGCTATTCAGGGTATTCTGTGGTTCTTACAGTAATGGAAGCTGGAAAGTTCAAGGTTATGGGATCACATATGGCAAGAGCCTTCTTCCTGGTGGGTACTCTCTGCAGAGTTCTGAGGCAGTGCAGGGCAACACATTGTGAGGGGATTAAGCATGCTAACTCAGGTCTCTCATATTCTTACAAAGCCACCATAATTCACTGATTCATTAATTCATTGATCCATGAATGGACTAATCTATTCATGAGGGCAGAACCCTCATGACCTAATCGCCTCTTAAATGCTCCACCTATCAATACTGCCACATTGGGGATTAAGTTTTAACATGAATGTTAGTGGGGACAAACTTTCAAACCAGAGCAGATGAGATTTATGGTGTAAGTTGGTTGCATCCTTGGTCTTCAAAGTAGGCATGAGCTCCTTCCTAACAGAAAATGAAGTGGAAATGGCATCACATTTAGCCTAATTATCTGTAGTACAATCTGTACAATCCTAATTATCTGTGGTACAATCTGTAGCCACAGGCAATCTGTATTGATTGTGAAGAACGTATCCTGATGGCTGTAGCACTTGTCTATTAAGGCAAGAATGGGGTGGAATGACTTCTTCTGAATGCTGTAGAGCTCTTACCCAAAGAAAATGACAAACTCATATCATTATGCTCTCAGTTTAAGTCATGTTCAGAGAAATAGAAAGCATCTGCAGGAGCCTAAAATTAATATTTTTATAATGGCATAGCTGACTTTGCTGACAATGAGATGCAAAATTTAGTTGTGTGGGGTAGAATTACAAGGTAAGTTGAATTCATGTCTTCACTAAGTTTCTCACTTGAAAACTAGGGTATTCATTGGGAAAGAGTGAAATAATGACACTTGTAATGGGGACATCCGGGTGATCATAGATGAAGCTGAATATTTGGAGCTCTAGGATCACTCTGAGCCTCTCTTGACAGTAGAAGCCAACTGCCTTTCAGTGTCTGAAAAGATTAACCTGTCTTGCTTAATGGCCTTATCTGGAGCAGTTGCCTTGCAAGAAAGTGCCTTTCTCCCTAGGACTCACTGCAACCATACATGGTTGCCACTACACCCAAAATTAGATAAGATCTCCCCATGTTCTAGGAGGACAAGGGTGAGGTCTGACTCAGGAGGAAACAAATTATACTCTAAAAGAATTTAAAGATGCTCATTTATATTGACTGAGACCGGGGTAACATCCATTGGAATGGATTCTAAGGATAGTAAACCAAGGAGAACAAACTACAACACTTAATCAGTCCAACTTTATTCATAAGACTTCATTTGCCAGAGATTATTGATTTAAGTGTTAGTTTGTGCAGCTAGCAATTTATTCTAACAATCTGTCTCTAGCAATTTACTTGATTAGTTGACACTTGGGCTCAACAGTGAACTGCTATTTAATGAGACTGAGATTCTAGAATTTCCTTGGTCTGACATAGAGAAGGAATCTGAAATCTTAAGGAAATTCTAATTTGGGAATAGTTTATCATATGCTAGGCCCAGAAGATACTTCCTTCATGGAAGTATGAGAAATAAGTGAGTGACGGGAGCACAGATGTCCTTAAAGAGCTCTGTGGTAGTTGTTGTGTAGATGGGATACCATGGCGGGAGGTGCCCCACAACACAGGTGACACATTAATCAAGATTTGGTTGTTTTCTGCCTCTTAAATCTTTAGCACCAAAAAGTAACCTTTCTGATCAGTTCAGAGCATGAGAGTTTATCTAGGGTGGATTTCTCAGGCTTCATAAGTTCAGGTTAATGGTTTTAACTACACATTTATTTATCATATTCACTATTACATAAAAAGACTCTTTTAAAAAACCTCTAATAACAATGTTCCCGATTCCTGGAGATGCATTCTGGTGTGCTTCTCCAGAAATCAAGACCTAGTTTTGAAGTCTGGCCCTGGGATTGATGAGCTGAGCAACTTTAAGGAAACCATTTAACCTATCTGAGTCTTTGTTTATACTTTTACAAATATCTCACAGAGAAAATGAGGTTATGCATAGAGAGTTTAAACACAGTGCCCAGCATTTAGTAAGACTCAACAAACAACCATTATCATTGTTATTATTTCATTTTTCCATCCCAGGTTGTCAATTGACTTTTTCAAATAAAACATTATTTCCCAAACTTATAGACAGGAAATATTCAACATTAACTCTAGTGTTTAAATAAACCTAAACATCTTCTCTTTCTTTAGTGTTTTTAAAAATTTCTGTTCTAGCAATATTTTGGCTACATCTGAATCAAATAATATGATTTTATTTAAAACCCCAAACTTTTCCCAGCTTAAAAAGAACAGGTTATGCCTCATTAGGACTAACTTCATATTTCTTAAATATCTTGACTGATGATTGATGCTTGAACTGAATTAATGCAAACTGCACTGAGGCTGTGGTGCAGGAAGACAGATGTCATGACAAGGAATGGTAGGAGTTCATTCATGCTGATATGTCTGCGCCCAATTGTAATTGTCTTGCATCCTGGACAAGGCAATTATTCACCAAGAAACTGGTTTTAGATCTTTCCCTCCAAGTAGAAACATCTGTTTTACGGCCAGGTGTATAGCTCACGCCTGTAATCCCAGCACTTTGGGAGGCTAAGGTGGGTGGATCACCTGAGGTCAGGAGTTACAGACCAGCCTGGCCAACGTGGCAAAACCTCACCTCTACTAAAAATACAAAAATAGCCAGGTGTGGTGGTGCATGCCTGTAATCCCAGCTACTCAGAGGACTGAGGCAGGAGAATTGCTTGAACCTGGGAAGTGGAAGTTGCAGTGAACTGAGATTGCACCACTGCACTCCAGTCTGACAACAGAGCAAGATTCCGGCTCAAAAACAAAAAAAGAAAAGAAAAAGAAACATTTGTTTTATAATCTGTTGCTTATACATTCCTGGAGATTAGTGCACCCATGTGACATTTTTCCTGTATATCGCTTCTCTATGGAGTTGATCAAGGGCAGCAAACATGACTTAATTCTCCTTCTATCCCCAGCTCTCATGCAGTGCCTGGTGCACAGTAGATGTGCAGCAAATCCTGAATTACAACATCACTTTGAAGCAGTGGTATGTCTTGTTTGATTTGGTTTATTTAGGTCAGTTTCCCAACCATTCCTGAGAGATACTCACTTCCATCAACCACAGTGCATTCACTGTGACTTTCTACTTTAATGATTCTCAACTGCGTAAAGGAAATGAGAAGACTGGGCATGCTGCTCACCTCTCCCAGAAATCTGCAGTTGCTGTTGTTGTATTTTTGTGGGTTGTTTTTTCAGGTGAGTACTTAAACATCCCTAGATTTTATCAGATTGTTGACAAATGAAATCATATCAACATCTATATCCAATGTCGTGCCCTTGCTCATGAAAAACTCTAGCCCTTGCAAAGTCCATCCTCCTTCCAGCCCCTGGCCCCCAGGAGTTCCTGAGAGTCATCAGGGATACCTTTCCTGTGTTCTCTTGGTATCTGCTAACTCCTGCATTGATTCTTATTGCCTACAAGAGTGTCTCCATAACCACAGCAGCAAGACACCCTAATGTGAAATCCAGGAGCACTGTTTTTTAAAGTTCCCCTAGCCACTAACCCTGGAGGTGTCAGAGCCGTGCTGGGCTCCCTTCCGATAGGGAGACTGCTTCTCTCCTGTCTTTGCAGCAAGCTGTTAACCTGGGCCAACAGTTGAGCTGCTCACATCCACATCCATCCACAGGGCCTCAGGAAAACAGTTCCTTTGGTATCTGCCTCGAATTTTCTCTCTGTCCAGTCCAAGTAGCTTGCGGTACAGATATCTTTCTATGCCGTCCATTGTCCTTTTTGTCATTTCAGTACACCAAAAAATAAACAAGCACTTCTCCCACATCTACCAGAAGACTGAGATCCCCCATATATCAGTTCAGACAAATAAACAATGACAGGTCTCAGGTTCAAATAGTAAAACTCTCTGTACTCATCTGGACTTAGCTGGCATCCTGCCACACACTTTAAGACAAATGGAAGTTTGTTATTCACTAGTAATGTGATCTCAAAGAAAACTAGTTTCCTGTGAATGTGTATGTTTGTGTTCCCTGGAGTAGCATGGGAACTTGTTTTTAATACAATTCTGGGTATCGAATGAGATGAGAAAAGTCAGGGAAAAAAATAAGGAACTCAAATCCTTGCAATGTTCCTTGAGTATCATCTAAAGCAGAGAAGCTCTCTTCAATGTAAATAAATCAGGATGAAAATGGAAACATGTAGCGTATTTAGCAGAACCAGATATAACTTTTCCAACATTAATTTAGGATCAAAACTAAATGTTAAGTCCCTTCCCTAGGATCTACCAGGCACAAAGCAACGTGTAAGGGCTGAGCCTGGACAGCTGTGTTTGAGCCACGGAACTTCTGTGCCCAGGTCTCTCTCTTTCTCTGTCCAAAGGTGATTCAGAAAAAGCCAATTTGTTGGCTGTTTGAAGATCATTCTCATTCTTGAGAACAAGAAAGAGTATAATGTAGTATTACACTTGGTTCATAATTGTACACCATGAGTCTCTTTCTACTTAACAGTTTCAATCTAATTTCCCTTTGTTATGGTTGTAAGGTCAATAACTGGGCAACATGGATTCTGGTTCTAATTCTTCCTGAAACCATCTGAGTGATAGTAACGTGTACAATTAACTGACCTGGGCCTGTTTCTCCCATCCACATAATAAGGTGTTCAGTCCATACAATTTCTGAAATCTCGCCTAAGCAAAATAGTGCATGAGATTTTGTGCTAGTAAAACGGAATATTCTCTGAGGTGGCTTTCAGTGATGTTGGTAGTGGATATGGTGTTCTCTGTCATACCAGTTTGGTATTACGATAAAATATCAATTATTGCCTTAGTTCTAGACGTGTTTCTTATCTTTTCATATACAGCTAAGGTGTACCTGTGAGGTATGCCGTATCCTATTTATTAAAAAATATTATTTTCCCAATAAAGTGAAGATTACATTGAATTTAGAAGGTGGACATAAAATGTATAATAAGAGAAAATCAACATGAAGTGCCTCTCTGAAAATATTATCCCAGCCTTGCATTGAACAGGATATATCAACCTGGATTCTCATGCTCGCCAATGCCAAAGTACTACAGATACAGGCATGTTCAACTTGGCAAGCAAAACTGTTGATGCTTCTGCAAAGAAAGACTCTCTCCTATTAACAGTCATAATATTTTACTTTGGAGTTGTATTTGAACAACCTCAGTAGTTTGGAGGACAGCCTGAGAAAGCCTTAAGAGTTTGACACTGAGTTTGAAGATACTTTCTCGTATGTTCGTGTGCAGATAACATTGTTCACGGTGCTTTCCTATAAGAAAAGAAAGGTGAGGTATTTCAGTATAGTTGGGGAAACTGACATTTACTATCCATACATACATTCCTTAATATTATTGAAAGATATCTATATAGACTATAGATAGGACCTATCTGTTAGCTGGTTTTGCCATGTTCTATATAACCTGTATATGGGAAATCATATATATGTGGTATGTATAGGGTACATATCATGTTTATGTGTTTATAAAGAAAGGTGTACAATTTGGAATTGGAAGTTTTTATTTTATTTTTTATTGCATTTTAGGTTTTGGGGTACATGTGCAGAACATGTAAGACAGTTGCATAGGTACACACATGGCAGTGTGTTTTGCTGCCTTCTGCCCCTTCACCCACATTTGGCATTTCTCCCCATGCTATCCCTCCCCAGCTCCCCACCCCCTGCTGTCCCTCCCCTATTCCCCCCAATAGACCCCAGTGTGTTTAAATGCCAACATTGATGCATTTTTGCTGTTTTACATACTCTACATTTTCTAAATAATAATACTAGCTTACATTGATGAAGTATTTTATGGTTTTCAGGGCACTAATATACACATGATGAAATTTAATTCTCTCAGAAAACCTTTGGCAAAGACATTGTCTACATCTTAAAGGCAAGGAATCTGAATTTAATCTGAAGAGATTAAATGAATTGTCCAAAGTCATATAAGTACTGAATGGCAGGGGTGGAGATTGACATCCTTGGATTCTGAGTTTAGTGTTCTTCCTAATGAACTATAAAACCTTTCTGTGTATTGGCTAATATCATTATAAACAGCAATAAAATCAATCATCCTTAGTCTTCCCCTTGTGACTTTATCAGGAGTAACATGTATTTTTCATTGTAGAAAAAAATATCATTGTATTAAGAAATGAGGTTAGATTTTTGTAACCTACATACATATCTTGCATATTCCCTTAGAACTATTTTATATTATGTAGAACATTACGTTTTTGTTCATTTTGGTGTAAGTAAGGGTTTTGGAGGAGGAAAATTATGAACACACATCCCTCTACTCTGGAGAAGTGGGGAAGATGACTTGGGAGACCATCTGAAAGGGAGCAGGATGAATTCTATAAAATACAGATTTTTCAATGAAAACAACCTGACTTCTAATCCCAGTACCACCACATTTTTCTAGTTGTATATCCTTAGGTAAGTCATGTCTGAATCTCAGATTCCTCACTGTTAAATAAGCCTTACCTTACAGGATTATTGTGGAAATTGGAGAAATAATACATGAAAATATAGGAACATGGTAGTGACATGGGTTAACTCATTCATACACCAAAAAAAAAAAAAAAAATCACTTTAGTTTCTTATCTCTGGTTTAGAATTCCTTTTCATGTTTTTGTTTGGTGTTGAGATGGAAAAACAGTTAACTCTGGCATGGAGTAGAGGATTGGCAACAACCCCCAATCCCTGCTAAAATCTTCATTGTACAAATACATGCTTTCTTTGATTTCCTTTGCATCAAAGACTTGGACTACATAAAATTTCATTCTCTTTAGTTTTTTAGTTCCTCAATTCATACATATTTTATATAATGCTTAGGATTATACATTTATCTCATGATTTTTTTCTCATTCTTATAAACTATGAGAAAGAGATAAATGGCATTCATTTTCATTGTTTTAGAAGAAGTCATTTGAGTGATTTTACGGTAGTTGTTGCAGAAGGTAGGAAGATAGAGAAGACCAGCTCACTCACCACCACCATTTTTCCATCCACCAGCTTTCTTGTTATGGTGGTTTCTTTGCCATCCCAGTCCTGAACTTGAATCAGGGACTCATTATCTAAGGTTACTTTATTCTGAAAAAAAACAAAAACAAAAAACTAAATTCAGATCAGATTGTTTTATTTCAACACTAAAATTTTATCAGTTGCCAAATTCTTTTTAGTTGTTATAATACTCTCAGGTAGTTTTAGAATGGTGTTGACAATCCCACTTATTTTAAGATTTTGTCATCAGTAAATTTGTTGGCTAATTCTGCTGAAGAAAAAAGGTTTTATAAGAGCAAAACTGTAATAATGTTATATTGAAGAAATGTTCTTTTTTTTTTTTGAGCCAAAGTTTCACTCTTGTCACCCAGGCTGGAGTGCAGTGGCATGATCTCGGCTCACTGCAACCTCTGACTCCCTGGTTCAAGCAATTCTCTTGCCTCGGCCTCCCGAGTAGCTGGATTACAGGAATGCGCCACCACGCCCAAGTAATTTTTGTAGTTTTAGTAGAAATGGGGTTTCACCATGTTTGCCAGGATGGTCTCAATCTCCTGACCTTGTGATCTGCCCACCTCTGCCTCCCAAAGTGCTGGTATTATAGGCATGAACCACCACGCTCAGCCGTGAAATGTTCTTTTTATCTTTGTGTAAGCATAGTATAATCTTTTTGCATAAAGAGTTACAAATACATTTTAACTTTCAAAATAAATATGAAACTCCAGCCTGGGTAACACAGTTGGACCCCCATCTCTACAAAAAATAAATTAGCCAGGTGTGGTGACATATGCCTGTAGTCCCAGCTACTCTGAGGAGGCTGAGGTGAAAGAATCACCTGAGCCCAGGGGGTTGAAGCTGCAGTGAGCCAAGATTGAACCACCACACTCCAGCTTGGGTAACAGAGACCCTGTCTCAATAATAATAATAACACATGTGAAACTAATTCAAACTCTCATTATATGAGCTTACTTAAAGAAGGCCTCTTTCCTCTTCTTACCCCAATAATATTTTCCATTGTGTTGTTGTTGTTGTTGCTGTAAATAGGGTCTCACTCTGTCAACCAGGCTGGAATGCAGTGGTGCAATCGTGGCTCACTGCAGCTTCAACCTCCTGTGCTCCAACAATCCTCCCACCTTAGCCTCCTCAGTAGCTGGAACTATAGGCACACGCCACCATAGTGGCTAATTGCTGTATTTTGTGTAGAAGTGGGTCCTGCTATGTTGCTCAGGCTGGTCTCAGACTCCTTCCTGGCATCAAGCACTCCCCCTGCTTTGGCCTTCCAAAGTGCTTGTATTACAGGCATGAGCCACTGCACCCAACCTAGTTTTTTTATTCTACACCCAACCTAGTTTTTTTATTCTAGTAGACTTTCAAGAATTTCACATAGAAATTCATATTAAGCATTTAAGTCAAAAATTTTCTTCCATTTTATATGGCTCAAGAACTTAAACTCTCAGATTCACTTAGTAACTATTACCATGTCATGACAGTTCCTTTTATCAGGATATTACCCTACATATAGTTTAACAATTCTCTATTGAGCTAATTTATTCAAATAACAAATATTTATTGAATGACTGTTTTGACCAAGCACTGTTTCTGTGAAACAGACAGGAAATCCTGTTTTGGATGAGCTTACATTTTGGTGTAGGGAAAAAGACTGTAAACAATAAGTATAGAAGTAAATTATATATTACAAATAAATAATATATTCCTGAGATATGTGCCCCTGGGATATGAATGAAAACTCTGTGTAGCACTTTCAGGGTGAGGCAGTAAAAAGCCGAGTGTCTCTATGTCTACCTTCGTGTTGGGGAAGACCACAATTTCCGCAGGTAAAGATACAGGGTAGTTGAACCTCTTTTAACCTGGATCCCTGAGAGATTAGGAGGAGCAGATTTCCTCTTTACTCCACTACACACACACAAACTTCCCCAACACCACCTGACAGTATGGATGTACTGTAAGTTAGAAATAAATCCCCATTGTGTTAAGTCACTGCAGACTTGTGTTCATCGTTATGGTGGCATAACCTTATCTATACCAGCTAATACAAGGTTTAGTCACTATAATTCTATGTGTGAAAAACGGCTACAAAATGGATAGGGAAACATTTGTTTCTGAGAGGACCAAACAGTAATCTAGGGAAACGATTCCAAAAATGTGGTCTGCTAAGCATGTACATCAGATTGATTAAAAATGCAAATTTCAGGTGCCTACCCCAGACATCAGAGCCTCTGGGAATGGCAGTGAGCAGGAGGCATTTTTCACAAGCGTCCCAGAAGATTTGTATCTTCACATGTGACCTCCTTAGACCTATGTTTTAGACAAAGTTTCTCATAAGGACTTTAGATATGTTTGCTAGAATTGCTGACTTACCTAGAATGATTTCTGACTAATATTCTTTTGAAACATGTCTGAAAGTCTGTCGTAGGCCTCACCTTTGTTTTGTGGCCAGCTGGTGTGACTTCCTCAAACTCTTCTCCTAGTTTAAAGGAGATCTCATTATTTTTAAAGATGCTTTTGGTTTTTATTGTGATGACATCTCCATCTGTACTGATGGTAACAGTGGGTTTTGCCAAACAGCCCAGTTTCCTGCTGGCTTTTCCTATACCTGAAAACCAGATAAAAGGAATGTTATCTTTTCACATAAAGAATTACAAATACATTACATTACAATACAACACTTAAATCTGTTGTTGACTCCAAAACTCAACACTGTCTGTGTAATTCTTTGCTAACTAGGAGATATGCCAGTTGAACAGATTTAATGCTGCATGAGTTCACGTATCCCACGCAAGCAGCTCCATCATTACATGTTAAAATAGACTATCTTTGCAGAAAAAAATAATCCGTCTTTAGTTTTTGTTTAGTGATTATCCTTTTTTACTAGTTCAGTAGTTATTAATTTTGTTGACTTTTGGACCCCTTTGAAAATCTCATTAAAGCTATAAACCATCTCCCTATTTTAAAATTGTATGCACTCACATACAAACACAATACTTCGGTGTGGATTTTTCCAGATACTTAGCTCTTCACTTATATTCTTACATGTATACATATATGGGTTTGTTTCCTCAATGATGTATGTTTTTATTGTGGTAAAATATTCATAACATAAATTTACCATTTTAAGTTACAATTCAGTGGTGTTGAGTACATCACAATGTTGTACAACCATCATCATTATTTATAGGATTTTAAAAAATATAAATGTTGTGTGGGCACTGCGGCTCATGCCTGTATTCCCAACACTTTGGGAGGCCAAGGTGGGTGGATCACCCGAGGTCAGGAGTTCGAGACCAGCCTGATCAACGTGGAGAAGCCCCATCTCTATTAAAATACAAAATTAGCCAGATGTGGTGGCGCATGGCTATAATCCCAGCTACTGAGGAAGCTGAGGCAGGAGAATCGCTTGAATCCAGGAGGCGGAGATTGTGGTGAGCTGAGATCATGCCATTGCACTTCAGCCTGGGCAACAGGAGCAAAACTCTGTCTCAAAAAACAAAAAAGTTATATCTATTGTTTTTCATTTTGCTTTTCCCCTTACCTATATGTCTTGAAAATTTTCCACGTCACTACATATAGACATGTACTTTTTCATAGTATATAATATTCTACAATGTGTATAGACCAGAATTTATTTTGTCTGTCTCTCTTTTGATGAGCAATTCATTTGTTTCTATTTTTGTAATTACAAATAATTATGCAGTGAACATCCTTGTATACATAGCTCTGTGCAGCACACATAGGAGTATTTTCAGTAGAAACAGATTTACATATACTGCAATACCTAAGTTAAAATTCTAAGGGAAGATACACTGGGAAAAGTACTATAATGTAGTTCATGGAATTCATATCATAAAACATGATCACAGGATGTGACAGATTGGATAATGGTTCCTAAGGATATTCACGTCCTAATCCCTGGAACCTGTGAATGTTACCTTTACATGTTAGGGGACTTTGCAGATTTGGTTAATTTAAGGATCTTGAGATGGGGAGTTTAATCTGGATCATCAGAGCAGACCTCAAACATAATCACAAATTTCCTTTTAAGAGGGAGGAAGAGGGATGCTGTACTACAGAAGAAGAGAGAGCAGTGTGAAAATGGGAGCAAAATTTCCAGGAGTGTGTAGAGTTTTTTTTAAAAAAAAGAAAATGGAAGCAAAGTTTGGAGCATTGTCACCACATACTAAGGAGAGCCAGCAGCCAGCAGAAGCTGAAAAATAAGATCTATTCTGAAGTCTATTCTGAAGATCCCTAAAGCTTAGAGCAAATGTTTACAAAATAATCATTTTTAAAAATAGTTGTGTTTTTTTGGTTTTAAAACATTTATTAAAATCACTTGCTGTTTAGTGTAAGGTACATGCTTCTTTGTTTATGTAAATTCATTGTAATTTATATGAGGGATTATTGTCAACTCCGATGTAGTTTTGCATATAACTGTTTCTTGGTACTGAATCAATTTTTTTTCTATGTGAAAAATTAGCAAGTCCAAGATTAATAATATTTTTTACAGAGAAAGTTCTGTGCTATCAAGATGGCCATTTTTACTGGATATGATATGCAAGTAAACATAGCTCACCCAGTTCCTTCATAAAGTCTTCAAAATTTTCACAAGAAATGGACTTCCACGTTCCTTGGAGCTGGTCAACCATTCTGTCTAAGTTGAGTTGATCTCAAAGAAAAGTAGTTTCCTGTGAATGTGTATGTTTGTGTTCCCTGGAGTAGCATGGGAACTTGTTTTTAATACAATTCTGGGTATCGAATGAGATGAGAAAAGTCAGGGAAAAAATAAGGAACTCAAATCCTTGCAATGTTCCTTGAGTATCATCTAAAGCAGAGAAGCTCTCTTCAATGTAAATAAATCAGGATGAAAATGGAAACATGTAGCGTATTTAGCAGAACCAGATATAACTTTTCCAACGCTAATTTAGGGTCAAAACTAAATGTTAAGTCCCTTCCCTAGGATCTACCAGGCACAAAGCAACAACGTGTAAGGGCTGGGCTTAGACAGCTGTGTTTATGCCACAGAACTTCTGTGCCCAAGTAGAAAAAGCCAATTTGTTGGCTGTTTGAAGATCATTCTCCTTCTTGATAATTTGAACTAAAAACCAGAGAGACAGGCCGGGCATGGTGACCCATACCTGTAATCCCAGCACTTTGGGAGGCCGAGGCGGGTGGATCACGAGGTCAAGAGATCGAGACCATCCTGGTCAACATGGTGAAACCCCGTCTCTACTAAAAATACAAAAAATCAGCTGGGCATGGTAGCGCGTGCCTGTAATCCCAGCTACTCAGGAGGCTGAGGCAGGAGAATTGCCTGAACCCAGGAGGTGGAGGTTGCAGTGAGCCGAGATCGTGCCATTGCACTCCAGCCTGGGTAACAAGAGCGAAACTCAGTCTCAAAAAAACAAAAACAAACAAACAAAACAAAAAACAGAGAGACTTCATAGATGGTACTTGACATTTGAAATAAAAAGTTAAGTTTCATAAACGCTAGAACAACCATTTTAAGTCATGTGCATAATGAATAAGAGAATGGGACAGGGAAAAAAGGAAAGAGATTGTGTTACACACATGCACGCGCGCACACACACACACATGCACACGCACACAGCCCTGTTACTGACCCTTTTCCAGGTGCCAGCCCAACTTTCCAAAAGCTTAGAGAGCTGTCATTGCCACGAGAACACCAAATATATTCTAAGTCCTCTTTAATTTTGGCTAGTTTCTGTTTCTCTCAGCCTTGACTGTAACATCTCAGTGTCCACGGATATCTGTAAGTCCAAACAGGAGCCAAGGAATATAACAGCAAATACATCAGCTAGAGAAGAGGAGACTCCAAATGCCAAGTAAAGGACAAACATACCCTTATGCACTCCATCAGCCCCTGAGGACATCATTATTAATGCTAGGCAGAGCTTGATGTCCATAGGCTGACACAAAGTTGTTAAGAAAAATTGAAGTTATGCTGGGCACGGTGGCTCACGCCTACAATCCCAGCACTTTGGGAGGCCGAGGCAGGTGGATCACGAGGTCAAGAGATCGAGACCATCCTGGTCAACGTGGTGAAACCCCGTCTCTACTAAAAATACAAAAAATCAGCTGGGCATGGTGGCGCGTGCCTGTAATCCCAGCTACTCAGGAGGCTGAGGCAGGAGAATTGTCTGAACCCAGGAGGCGGAGGTTGCAGTGAGCCAAGATCGCGCCATTGCACTCTGGCCTGGGTAACAAGAGCAAAACTCTGTCTCAAAAAAAAAAAAAAAAAAAAAGAAGAAAAACTGAAGTTATAAAATTATTTTAAGATAGGAATGGGGACATAGCATCTTATAATAATTTCCATTAAAATGTCAAATTTCCAAATTTTAACACCAAGACCAATAGTCTTACTGTTAATTACTCAACTAACATTTATGAAGCAACTAGCATTATATGCCTAATATGAGGCTAAAAATTTTATCTATACTATTGATTTAATGTTCCGGATATGGTTGGTAAAGATACCATAGTTTGGCTGTGCATGGTGGCTCACCCCTGTAATCCCAGCACTTTGAAAGGCCAAGGTGGGTGGATCATGAGGTCAGGAGTTCAAGACCAGCCTGGTCAACATGGTGAAACCCCTTCTCTACTAAAAATACAAAAAGTCGGGCATGGTGGCATACACCTGTAGTCACAGCTACTCGGGAGGCTGATGCAGGAGAATCACTTGAACCCGGAACGTGGAGGTTGCAGTGAGCTGAGATTGCACCACCACACTTCACTGCACTCCAGCCTGGGAGACAGAGTGAGACTCTGTCTCAAAAAAAACAAAACAAAACAAAACAAAACATAGTTCATTGGTTGGTTTTCCTTTCCTAAGTAATTTGTACGACTATGCTCATTCAACTTAATAGGCATGAGGCTGAAGCCAGGAAATGACCCAACATTGAGGGTAATCTGGGCACTAAAATTAGGCACTGAAGGCACTAAAATTCCCAGGATTTTTCAAGAAAATGTCGAATGTGCTGCCATTTTTGTTGGTTGTACATTGATCCCCTCCCACAAGGAAAATCATTATTGAAGATCACCTCCTTGAAGAAGATGCCATATTGGAAGCAGTGTTTTTCCCTGTTGCTGGCAGATTAGACTTGCAGAGACATTAGTGCTGAGGTGTGAGACAGAGCCCATGCACGGCTTCTATCTCTGCACTGTGGCTCCTCTGCTCATGTACCTATCACATCAGTTCAGAGACTGCCTACTGTCAGCTGGCTTAGTCATTTTGTCTTCTTGGTTGGTCAGTGATTGAACAACCTTCTGTGATTGATGCTTTCTGGTGTTCATTCATAATGAGAGCCAAAAATCTTATTATGTTCACTTCTACAGGTTCACACACATTCTTTTCCCATCAAACATTCTTGTCTGCAATTTTTCAGTCCTTCTCCTCCAGGTCCCTGACCAGCTGTTCAGACAATTCACCTCATCCATGAGTAGATATATAGTCCCATCCCAAGCCACTGTGTCCTCCACATGAAATAGGGAACAGGTGCATGACTCTGAGTTTTGTCCACTGACATGATTTTCCTTACCATTTCCTCAAGTGCCCCACCCACCACCCCAAGTGTAATGAAACCACTGTCCATTTTTAACTTGCCTCCATACCCTGAACTGACCAGTACATTAAACATGCTCAGGCTTTTCCTTCTCCTTTAACTGGTCACATGGGACCCACATACTCTCAGGGGCATGTTCTGAAGGAGGGGTGCTGGTGCTGCAGTGGTGGGTGACATGGGGACCTGCACCACCTGCTCATGCAGTTACCTTATGACTTCTGGTCTTGTTTAGGCTTGATCCCAGATGGACAATTTGATCTCTGTGGACCGCTGCTGGACATGCCTGACTTGATGACTCTGTGAGTCTGAGAGAACCCGGCCATAATGGGCAGTTCCAGTTACATTGTTACTTGGTATCCTGTAGTCAAGAATTCTGTCTCTATGGTGCCTCAGTAACACATGAGGCACTCTTCTTTAATAGGTGTATAAGTCTCTGTTACAGATGGCATGATCTTTCCCCACAACCCCAGACATTGGTGCTATGATGCACACACACACACACTCACACACACACACACCATACACCATACAGGAAAACGCATATTTTCCTCTCGCCAACACCTCCAGCAGCAGAGTTTACCATCACATGACCCAAGCATCAGGGCAGTTCATATCATAGCCCTTCTTTCCTGCAGAACCTTTCCTGCTTTAAGCTCCACTCAAAGCAGGGAGACTTTCATGCCATTCAGTATACAGGCTGCACATGTATACAGGCTGCCTAAATGTGCAATATGTTGCCACTGTAAGCCAAAGAGTCCCGCAAGAATTTTGATAGGAGAGACAAAATGCAGCAATTTGTCTTTTGAAAAAGATAACCTTACATGCCCTTGGCCATGCTGGACCCCTAAAAACTTTACAAGAGTAGAAGTCGCCTCAATCACCATCAGCTTTAGCTCCCATATTCTGTGTCAAATGTGTCATACCAAAGTCTCTAGCATACTAGCCACTTCTTGTTCATCCTGATTGATAACGTGACATTGTGCCAGATGTCCAGACAGCCCAGATCTCCTCCGATTATATTATGATAAAGAGTCGGATTTAACATAGCCACAGACAAAATCAATGGCTCGTGTCTGTAATCCCAGTACTTTGGGAGGCCGGAGCAGGTGGATCACCTGAGGTCAGGAATTTGAGACCATTCTGGCCAACATGGCAAAACCCTGTCTCTACTAAAAATTACAAAAATTAGGTCATGCTCACATCTGTAATCCCAGCACTTTGGGAGGCTGAGGTGGGTGGATCATGAGGTCAGTAGTTCAAGACCAGCCTGGCCAAGGTGGTGAAACCCCGTCTCTACTAAAAATACAAAAATCAGCCAAGCATGATGGTGGGTGCCTGTAATCCTAGCTATTTGGGATACTGAGGTAGAGAACTACTTGAACCTGGGAGGTGGAGGTTGCACTAACCCAAGATCATGCCACTGCACTCCAGCCTGGGCAACAAGAGTGAGACTCCAACTCAAAAAAAAAAAAAGTGTAAATATATCATTGTCTGTTTCATGTAAATGCAAATCATTTCTGATCTTTCTGAATTGAGGTAGGAAAGAATGCCAAATATGGTCTGACTCAACACCATGTACCTGACACTGTATCAATCTCCACTATCCAAGATAACACATCAAGTACAGTAGCCACCATTGGAGTTATTGGTTGATTTTTCCCTAGGCTAGAACTACTCTAAGATTCATTTGGATTTTGCAGTGATTAGACTCATGAATTAAATGGTGTTATGATATGAACCACCACCTTCTGCAGTCTTAAAATCCTTTTGACTAGCCCCAATTTCTGCTATTTCTCACTCCTCCCCTGCCACTAAATACACAATTTTTTATTCACCACCGTATCTAGGGCTGGAGAAAGGACAGCAGTGAAGAAGGTGGGAGTGTGAGGGTGCAGTTTCAGAAGCTTCCATTTTGCCTTCCCCGTTATACTAATTCTTGTTTGGTTAGAATGAGAAAGGTGGCGCTTAACTCTGGCAGCCAAGGATGTCAGTCCCAATTACGCATTCAGGGCCTAGGGAAATGACTACTGGAGGAATCCACAGACCTACCAGACCCACTGAGACCTAGACTTTGGCCAAAGTTCTGTTTATTACCTAGCTGCTGCATGCCTTCACTCTAACATGATGATTTGGAACTCTGAATCAACTCAGACCCAAGGCTATAAGAATACCTGGGTAGTCCTCTTTTCTCATTGCATATTTTTTCAAGTAAATAATAACAGATCTCTTTGGAGGAAAATGAGGAAAATTAACAGTTTATGATATTTCAGGGTTCTTCCTTCTGTGGGCTTGTCACCTATTGAGCCAATGGTTTCTGGGTCTGAAAATTGTCTCAGATCTGGAATCTGGACAATGGATCATGACTTTCTATTGGGGTGACCATCCTTAGTCTGCTGCCCATCCATTCTTGCCTTCTTTTGAATGTATATATAAAGCAGCACCCTGGTTGGCTATCCATCTATTTTTGCCTCTATGGATTCAATGTTATTTTAATCATCTCCATAATGCCTTTCAGGTCAAACACTCTTAGCCATGCCTTCAACCTTGCCCTATTTTATGGTAAAGTACAATCAATCCCCTGGTTTCTGGCAGTAAAGTGCTGCCATCTGGCCCAGGTTGTTTCAAATTCTCTTCATCTGCATTGCTACCAATGAGCTGAACTCTGACAATCCAACGAGAGCAGCCACCAAAACTCTTAGTGATGCTGTGTCCCCTCTCACCAGCGCAACCTTGATGGTCTGGTAAACATAAAACATCTTCTGGATTCTCTTATGGAATGTACTTAGCTGACTGCTCGTCTGACATGTATACATATACATATGCACACACATACTTTTTCTTTCTATAGAAAAGTATTGTGACTATATTTATCCATAACAGAAGTACAGGTCTCATAACTTTCCTACACAGTAAGAGAGGAAAGCCCCACCACCCGAGATCTTCCAGCCTTTTGGGATATTAAACTTGAGTTATTTCAGCAAAGCAATTTGAAGGGTATTGGAGCTGGATGAGACAGAGTGGGTGCTCTGCAGATATTGGTGTGCAAGGAGAACTCAGGCCTTACTCATTTACAACTAATTCAATAAACACTTGAGTGTCTACTAAAGGAAAGATCCCTAGGATAGGTCTTTCCCACTACTGAGCATATAATGGGGATTGAAAGAGACATCCAAAATGTCTCCAACTCTGTAAAAAAGAATATGAAACTACACTCAATTCCTTAGTGTTTCCATGTGGATATCTAGCGATGTAGTAGATAGCTGGAGAACAAACTGATTTTATATCATGGTTTGGCAAACTATAACTCATATACTAAATCCAGCTCCCACGTGTAGATAAAGTTTTATTAGAACACAACCACACTTATTCCTGTACATATTATCTATGGTTGCTTTTGTATTATGATAGTGAGACTGAGTAGTTATGACAAATACCATATGACCATCAAAGCCTGAAATATTTATTATCTGGCTCTTTACAGAAAAAGTATTGTCAACCCCTGTTTTAGAGTCTCAAGTGTGAGTTTTTAAAACTGGGGATAATAACTTAAAAACTACTATAGGCTTTCTTTTCTTGGGATAGAAGAATCGTGGATACCATTTTTCATTTAAAAGACTTTTCATCGAAAGACATTTTTATAATTATGTCATGAATATTCCCAACAGAAAAATTAAAATAAGGAGCCACGCTCTGGCATTTTATAAAAGTAATGAGATGGTTATCAGTCAAATATACGTGGAATATTTTTTAAATTACTCGAGTGCTGTAAGGCAGAAAAATACAAGAATCAAAAATTAATTGTGTAGGGAAATTGAGGAAAGAAACCTAGTTTAATAAGCTTTCCTGCTATCTGCTTTTTCCTGAGTCTAAACTCAAGTGATTAATGAGCCTGTCAGATTATAAAGTTTCTTCAGAAATAGCCCTCACTCTCTGTAAGATTCTTCTACTTTTTTCATCACCTTAGCGATGTTAAGCCTTCAAGGTTTCCATGTGGTTCTAATGCACTTGGATTAAAAACATGCTGCAAGGAAAAAAAAAATTAGTAACTTTTTAAAGTAAAATTTATTGAAAATAGAGAAAGTTTACTAGAAAAATTTAAGTGCTGTGGCAAACAAAAAATAGCTACCTAAATATCTGCATGATTCTCTTCTTATATAGGGCGGGTTTTGTAGTAAGGGTGTTAAGGGAACTGGGTCAGCTCTTAGTATTTTCTGACTAAGAACGTCAGGAAACTTGGCCATTCATGAGGCTCAGGGTGTTTCTGCCTTGGTGCTACAACTCAAATGCACAACTGGAGGTGGGCAGCAGCCAGGAAGCTGAACTGAATGGCTCGGATGAGGCACATGGTTTTCCAAGAAAGGAGTAACATGGCACTGCTCCATGTCAACGTTCTTCACACACTTGACCAACATTTTTTAATAGGGTTGGGAATTGTGTTAGACCATTTTTGTGTTGCTATAAAGGAATACTTGAGACTGGTTACTTATAAAGAAAAGAGGCTGAATTGGCTCATGGTTCTGCAGACTGTACAGAAAGTGTGGTGCCAGCATCTGCTTCTGGTGAGGGCCTTAGGGAGCTTACAATCATGGCAGAAAGCAAATGGGGAGCTGGTGTATCACATGGCAAGAGCTAGAGCAAGAGGCATGGGGAGGTGCCACACTGTTTTAAACAACCAGATCTTGTGTGAACTCTGAGCAAGAACTTACTCATTATTATAAGGGCAGCACCAAGCCATTCATGAAGAATCTGCCCCCATCATCTAAACACCTCCCACCAGCCACCACCTCCAACCCATTATTACATCCCAACATGAGATTTGGAGGATGTAAGCACCCAAACTATATCTGAAATTGTAATGGGTTGAACTGTGTCCCCTGCAAAAGAGATGGTCAAGCCTTAACCCCAGTACTGTACTTGTGAACGTGACCTTCTTTAGAAATGGGACCTTTGCAGATGTTAATTAAAGATCTCAGGATGAGATTGTATTGGATTTAGGCAAACTCTAAATTCAATAACATATGTTCTTATAAAGGATGGAGAAGGAGATTTAAGACACATGGAGACAAAGGAAAAGGTCACATGAAGATAGAAATTGAAGAGCTGCCATAAGCCGAGGGACACCATGGCTTGCCAGCAACCACCAGAGGCTGGAAGGGAGGCATGGAAAAGATTTTCCTCAGAGCCTTCTAGAAACTGCCAACACCTTGGTTTCTACCTCTGGCCTCCAAATCTGCAGAATACGTTTCTGTTGTTTTAAGTCTCTAAGTGTGGCAATTTGTTGTGGCAGCCACAGGAAAGTAATACAAAGAAAAACCTCATTTTAAAG